ATCTTTACAAAATATTTTCAAAACAATACATCCATGAATAACTGAAGGGAAATTAAAGTCAATTAGATTATGTGTGATAAATGCTCTTATGCAGGATTAAACATGACCGGTTTCAGAGCATTTTAAAGAGTTTTCACTTATCTATTTACCTCACTGGTCTTCTGAACCGTCCATGTGACTTTTGCGCCATCTAGTGGCCGACTGTGGCTTTCCTTTCAGGTGCATTTCAAGGTGAAAAGATTTTTTTCTGACTGCATTTCAGATCATTCTAAATCTGTTAAAATTAATCAAGTTAAATCATTATCTATAAAATGTAAAAATTCATATATATATTTAAAAAAATCCTGATTCTTGCCCAGATAAAAGCGCTCCAGCAGCAGGTTGAATCCACTCTGAGAATTTCAATAATTGGCTTCCCTCTTTTCTTTCGGCGTGATCTGCAGAATTCAAGACTATTCACAGCCGTCTTAAAATGTTCTTAATCTGGACTGAAAACTTTCCCTTTTAGAAATGCCTACAATTGCTGATTTTTAGATTTTTTAGTCTACGTATGCCTTCAAATGTATTGATTTTAATGATTGTCTTTTTACTCTGTTTTTAATGTTATGGTCTTTTAACCTTGTTTTAATTTTCCCCTTTTTTTTTTTAAATGTAGCACTTTGAGATCTGAGTTCAAATGTAAAGTGCGTGACAAATAAAATTCATTATTATTATTATGAATAATCTGCACAAGTTGAAATATTACAATCATGTAAACAGAAAAAAATTTCCACATTTTGGATGATCGATATTTATAGCTACCAAAATTACTTTCATATATCTAAATGAAAAACATTTAAAACAGGTCTATGAAAAAAATGTGGAAGCAACAACCTTCAATTTAAAATACTTGAAATATGAACCAGTGCAATTAATCTATATGATGACAGTTTTTTTTTTAAATTAAATGATATGACATATTTGTACATATTAGCCGCTGAAGACGCAACATAAAAAGGACCAAATATTCCTTGTTGTGCATTTGTGAACATAATTTATTAACATCATACAATATTGGGAGATTACACACACACTGCAGAATATAAATACGAAGGTTTGTACAAACATGGAACTAAAAAGGGGTTAAAAAAAAAAGCAGCAAGACCCAGAAAGAAGAAAAGTATCTTAAAACTTTCAACCAAACGCTCCGACTACGCACACAGATTCCTCAAGAAAAAAAAAAAAAAGATTCACCCAATAGCTGGTTATGCTACTCCATCAAACATGAAACATCACCTCCCCACAATGTGACTTCTTAAAGAAACGTTGAGAAATTAACTTTTCCGAAACGCTAGAACACACAAACTAGTGTTCAGGAAAACTATTTAACGGCAACGTCCGGAAAACCCAAAGGGAAGAGTCTTTGTGTGACGTCTGTAGACGGTTGGACCCCCACGTTAGCAGAGGGGCACAACTTGACCGGGCGTTATGGGAAAAAAATGTCTCCAGGAAGCAATCCAGGTTGTGGGTTTAGTTTATGGCAAAGTAGAGGAGAGATCCAGGAATCCACTGGGATGAAAACGACCTCTTAAGGAGGTCAAGAACTGATGAAGAAAGAAATAAAATTCTATTTTGCTACTCAAGCCAGCAGAGTGCAAGCACAAACAGGCCGAGAGTCTGACCTGACGCTGTATCCGAGTGGGAATAAACCGGAGCGGGAAGCAATCAGCAGGACGTTTTAAAGGGAAACCACTCCATCGGCGTCCTTCTCAACCAGCTCCAACAGCACATATAGTGTTTGTTTAAAACAATGCTCCGAATAAGACGGCGAACTCACACAAAAAAAATGAAATAAAAATAGGCAGACGGTGTGAACAGGAGGAAGAAATCCTGTCAAAAAGGAGAAAAGAAAAACTAAATCCTGGAGGAAGAAGGTGGGCTCAGGTCCGTGTTCTGAAATCTGATAGCTCTCCATTTTTTAAAGTCAAACAAGAGTCATATTCTCTGGATCTTCTCAGCCACCACCATGGGGTTCTCTTTACGGATCTTGGCAGCGGCGTCGGCTTTGTAGTCGTAGGGACAGTCGTGTTTGTCGGAGTAACGGTGAATCCCGCAGAATAGATTCCCGCAGCGGCAACCAAAACCTGGAATATCAAGAAAGTCCAAGATATTTAATTACAAACCACGAAAAAAAACTTTTCTTTTCAGATCAACATGATAAA